AGTGAAACTGAAACTGTCTGTGGAGCTCCTAACACTTCTCACTCAGTGAAGCTCTTTTCAGATTAAAAATACCTTTGAGGAACGTATTTTCAGATGCCAAGAAAACTGCATTATAGCCCCCCCCCCCTCCCCACCGAAATGTACGGGACAGAAGCGGAAGGTGGTTCTTAAAGAGACAGAAGCCAATTTCAAGGCATTTAGAAGAGGGAGTGATGAGAAAAGTTTATTTTCTATTTAAACATAAAAACAGCATTTTAATAACAAATAAAGGTGACATAGATACTTCATTATGGTATAGTATTTAAATAAATGCCTGAGAAACACACAATATTGCCCCTTTAAGTGTTTTTTTTTATTATTTTCTGCTGATATGTTTTTTTGCTTCCTGTTAAATTTGAAGTCTTGAGTCTTGCATGTGATACCCATTTCAGCAATAACCCCTTCAGCTATTTTGCAACATTTCAATAAGATGTAAATTTTCGTTTTATCCAAGCCATTCTCTAACCTTTCATTCTGAGTTAAAGTTGATTTCTATGTGCGCTCAGTCTGTCAAGGTCAAAATTTCCACTTTCAGTTCAGCTCAAGCCTTCATACAAATGGTCTACGATGCTGAAACCACAATTCGATCCATGACAAGCTGCCCTGTACATAAAGCATAGTTTCCACCAGCTCGTTTCACAGTGGGTATGAGGTTTTTCTTTATAAATCCTGACTGTGGTCTGCACCAAACACATCTACAGACACTGTTGTCATACTGTCATTCTCTTTGGACATCAAAGCTGTTTTTTATGTCGGTCAAGAAGATCCATCATTTCTTTTGTTAGCGCACTTAAAAGTTCTGTTTGACACCTGCAGCTGCAGAGTAACTTTTAGATTCTTTGAAGTTTTTTGATTACTGAAAGCTTCTTTTTGCATCAGACCATGCGCTCTCAGATTTGCTGAGGCGTCCGGTTCATGACACTTTGGCAGTTATTTAGGATCCAGCTCACTTGTCAATTAATTTTTACTTTCTGCCAACTGTGGAAACAATAAAGGCAAGTGATTTACCAGGCTCTGACTCAAGTGGTAGCGCAGGTTATTTTGCATGCCCCACACACACACACACACACACACACACACACACACGTTCCTTTTATTCAGTTTAATGTACATGGCAACAAAGATAAACGGGCCAATTTTCTGAGCTGAACAGTTTTATGTCTGACCGTTTTTCCTAAGAGGCTCAAATGTGATTTGCTTATTTGTCAATGAAAAAGTCAACTATTTCCAACTGATGTGCTTATTTTTTCACATGGCTTAACATGATGCCAAAGCCAGCACTGTAAAGAAAGTCACATGTGCCCACAGCATGGAACTTCTTTAATTGGACCCAGTTGTAAAAACCTGTCAACCCGCCAATGTAATGAAAGCTGAAAGGGTCAAAACAGATCAAATTCAGGTTCCTTCCATACTTTTTGTTATCTGCCCCGGCAATAAGCACATAAAAAAACACAATATAATTAACTTATAAACTTTAAACTGCATGTCTGACTTTACACATAATTTAGTGAGAAGTTTTTGACATCTTGCCTAAATGCAACTTTGATTAACAGCCGGAGGAAATACACATAAATTAAAGCTAAAAATTCTTTTATTGTATGCAGCTTCAGAGGTTTTAGTTTCACTGTAAAACCGCACAGTCACATCTTTTATTTGTTGCAAAATAGTTTTTTTTAATCGTGAAAAAGACAAAATACAAATAAACAGAAGAATTTTCTACAGAGTGAGCAATTAAAATGATTTAGTTTTATTTTAAAAGTATTAGAAAATAACTTTAAATAATAAACTTTTTCGTATGAGTCTAATCACTGTTGTGGGCAGCGGAGGGATGTCAGACTGTCCAGTCAAATTTTCCGCCTACTTAAAGATGCAGAGGCCAAAAATGTAATGCTTCCAATATGTTGTGGCTCTGCCCGCTAGTTAAATGGCACCAGCATGCCATTATTGTGCACAGTGACCTTTGCTCCTTTTTCAATGTTAGATAAAATCCTGAAACATTTCTTTAAAATGTAACTGTAAAATAAGCTTTTATTTCTGTATAATACAACCATTTTTTGTAATCTAAATGTCCATTAGTGTATTGCTTGCTGTGTCAAATTGCGGAGAAGCTCATTATAGACTTTCAGATGATAAATATAATTTCAGTTGTTTATTATAGGGATTATAATTGTTCTGCAGTGTTTTCAGACTACATCCATCCTGCAGCCGTTATGATTTTAGAGCGATTTAATAATGTCTCGCTTTCGCCCGAACAAACTTTTCAAATGAGCTGTTGCAAATATGCTTCAGCTGACAAGGACCTTTCTCTCACCCCAGTGTGCTGCTTGGCATGTCTATATCTGTCCTTGCATATTATATGCAGTCTGTCATCGTTTCATAGTCCTTGCTGCACTAGTGTACCGCTTCCCTCTCTTTGCCTCAGTTTTGTCTTTCTTTCTCTTCCTGCGTTCTCATTTTCCCTCACTTCTTTTCTGTTTATAACCCAGGACTTAACATTTTAAACAACACATACAGGAGACACTGATGATTTTGTTCATAGATTGCTCATCTTCTCATCTTTCCTTAACGGTAGCTAACTGACGTGTCTTTGCAGATCGCTTTGCAGGCGAAGCAACATTTTAACAAGTAGTCACAGGAATAAGGAACTAAACAGGTTTAAACAGTACATTTCATACATTCATCTTAGCAACACGTATATTTAAGCATTCCTGTCTTTACAAACATAAAATCAAATTCTGTAGTTCTCCAACACAAGTTTGATCTAGCCATTAAATGCTATCAAAATCTGCAAACACTGCTTAAGCCTATTGGAAGTTTAAAGGGATCCCCGATTAGTTTAACATTAGACTTTATATGATAAACATATATTTTAACTTTAAAGTAAAGACTGTAAAAATACTGTAGGCTGTTTAGTTTTTATAATTTTTAAACTAAAAGTTTAAAAATATATTACACGGATGGGGCCATTTTATTTACACGCAAAGCATTCTGGGTAAATGATGACGTGGATAGGTCCTCGGTGCGAGGCTGCTAGCGAGCTATATCCACCCTGAAGGTTAATATTGGACAATATCTGACGATACGCTCATTTAAATGAAACCAGAGAGCGTTGACAGAGAGGAGAAGGTAGAAATGACTCAGCCTGTAACGGAAAATATGGATGGAGGACAACAGAGCTGCTTCATGGAAGAAGAACCTCAGCTTAGCCTGTTAGCTTTAGCATTAGCCCCGGTGTTATTACGATATATATGTATTAGCTCAGCGCTACACATTCTCCTGTCATCACTGAGGTCCTCGTGACAGGGAGGGAAACACAAAAATGGCTCAACCTGCAACTAAAAATATGGATGGAGGATCTCAGTTTATCTTGTTTGTCGCGCTAGTGCCGAGCTAATACATATAAGGCAATATAGAGTRAGCGCTAGCGCAAAGGCTAACAGGCTAAGCTGAGGTTCTTCTTCCATGAAGCAGCTCTGTTGTCCTCCATCRARATTTTCAGTTKCAGGCTGAGTCATTTCTACCTTCTCCTCTCTGTCAACGCTCTCTGGTTTCATTTAAAAGAGTCGATCATCAGATATTGTCCAAGATTAACCTTCAGGGTGGATATAGCTCACACCGAGGACCTATCCACGTCGTCATTTACCCAGAATGCTTTGTGTGTAAATAAAATGACTCCATCCGTCTTAAAATATATCTTTAAAATTTTACAAAATGAATCATCCTACAGTATTTTTACAGTCTTTATTTCACAGTTAAAATATTTGTTTATCAAATAAAGTCTAATGTTACAACTAATCGGGGATCCCTTTAAGAGTTTCCCTCCAACAAAAGCTGCTCATGCCAGAGATTCAGACTGTTGTGATTCTTTAAGGAACATTACCTCGATTATTTTATGCATGATACACTTCAGAGCACCGTGTCAGCTCAGATTTAGCGGCTTGAACAAACAGTGTGTTTGAGAGGTGTTATCCATCACTGCAGAGAAGCAGGTAACACATGGCTGCCCAGCATCTGAAGAGTCTAGAACTGGACATAATTGTTTAAATCAAATAAAAGTCTGGCTTTGCTGCTGTTGGGAAAGGTAATAAATCATGAAGTTAAGCAAGTGCGCACGCTTATCTCTTGACCTAATTTAAATATTTTCATGAAAAGATTTACTGTTTTTTCTCTCCCTTTAAATTCATAAACGTCAAGGTTAATGAAAAAGCAGCTTGTTCAGTGGTGTTTACTGACTCAGAGAATTTTCTGTTTTGTAAGAACAAACATGTTTTTCTTTCTACCTTACATTTATATAAAGAAGTGCCAACCTGTGAAGTCTTGCCTGCTGCTTCTTTAAAGCTTAACCTTTATGCTTTTGCTATGCTTTTCAAGGCCAACTCCAATCCACTGAAGAACGCCTGGTAATTGAAAGTTACCACAAAAAAGGCATACATGCCATTTCTGTCCTTGCTCAGATATCGAATGAACTCCCATATCATAGCTCTCGTAATTCATAGTGCAAGACAGAAATAATTAAAAAATATAATCAGTGCTTTCATTATCTACATTTTCTTATTTTTGTGTTATCCAACCTGTGAGCAGATTTGGCACGGGTACAGTTTCTCAGCATGTAAGGGTGTGTTTGTTTATTCACAAAAGATACATTGCATTTTTTTTGTTAGATGAGCAAATGTCCAAGTCTGATAGGGATAAATCGATGGTAGACACTGCTTGTGTGGTCAAGTCTGTGTCTTTGTTTGTTTATCTGATTATCTGTTAACAATAGTTTGCTTCATAGCTGGAAGGTGGTACTTTTGCATAATGGAATAATTTACTGTCATTATCATTATTGATAACGTTAAAAACATCATGTTAATAGTTTTGAATATAAGCATTTCATAAAAATACATCTATGAGAACATAACACTGTTAGAAGTTCAACTGTGAACGTTTAGTTTTATTCTTCTTTTCTCTTACACCAGAGCTCATCCAGAATGGCCGGCTGCTGACGCTGCCCTTGGTGGCGGGAGACCTGCACTCCTTGCTGCCTGATGAAGACAGGAGGCGTCTGTACGTGGCCATGAAAGATAACCTTCTGTCTACCAGTCTGGATGATATCACGCAGAATCCACGCAAGGTAGGACCTGGAGGACGCGTGCACATAAACCATCTGAAATAAACCACTCTCAAATTTTCTTTTGTAAAAAGGATAAGTTGACCAGTTGTTTGTGGCCTTCCTTAAAGTTTTGTTTCTTATTAGTGCTTATTGTTGTTTAAGGCCCTATCACACTAGTCAACTTTTATGCCAACTTGTGAACATTTTAAAGACGTCTACGTTGAAGCTGGAATTGAAAAAATCAACAGGAAGCTTCTTTTTGGCGTGTACATAATGTAATTCTAACAAATTGATTAAATATATAACTTTTATTAGCAATTTAGACATAAAAATGTTTCATAAGTTGTTTAGTGTGACAGGGACTTTAATAATGTGTAGTTTATATCATCTCCTCCTGAAGACACTAAGCAGCCTTGTCTACTCATTTTAAATCAGATGCTGATAAAGAACCTCATTCCATTTTTTTACAAGTCATCTTTGAACACCAGCCTATGACTTTTTGTCCCCCTGAAGAACATTAGCTATCTGAATTTTGTAACTTGTCAAAGCTGACAACGAGAGATATGAACATAATGGGTTCCAGTCTAGTGACAAAATGTCCATCCTACTTCCTTAATTATCTGTGTCTGCTAATGCAGTGAAAACTTCTCTCTGTGTTGGCAACAATAGAAGGTGTTATTCTTGACTGACACTGAAAAAGTTGAAGTCATACTCATAATGAACAAAGACAGAGCCGGTGCAGCCGTTCTTCCAATTTGGTTTTATTTTATCTTATTTTTAACAAGAGAAACATTTTTCCCCATTTCCTTTAAAAACAAAACAAATTTACATACAACAAAATAATACAAATCAAATAAAATGAAAGGTAGCAGAAGAAGAAAAAAAATCTTGTTATATCTGCCCGTTTTTCAAAAAGAAATAATTTTGATTGCAGCTGTGAGGAAAACAGATGAGGCTTGGGTAAATGTGTATGATAGGTGAAATACATTATAGGTACTCATTGCAAAATAACATAAAAATGTATCCTTAACTTTATCAAATGACGCAGTTTGAAAGAGTCTACTAGTTTTACACATACAGCGGGTAAAATAAGTATTGAACACGTCACCATTTTCTCAGTAAATATATTACTAGAGGTGCTAATGACATGAAATTTTCACCAGATGTTGTAACAACTCAAGTGATCCATACATACAAAGAAATCAAACCATAAATGTCCAGAAATGAAGTTATTTGTAATAATGTGGAATGGCACAGGGAAAAAGTYTTGAACACATGAAGAAAGGGAGGTGTAAAAAGGCATGGAAAGCCAAGACACCAGCTGAACTCTCTCAGTAATTTGAAAGCAAGCCTGCCCCTTGTCAGTGCAAGTTAATATCAGCTGGTTCAGTCCCAAATGATGGCCAGGTATCACACAAGAACCATTTGATGATGGGTAAAAGTAAAGAGCTCTCTCAAGACCTTCACAACCTTATTGTTGCAAAGCATAATGATGGCATCGGTTACAGAAGAATGTCTAAACTTCTGAAGGTTCCAGTGAGCACTGTTGGGGCCATAATTCAGAAGTGGAAAGAACATTATTTCACCATAAACCGACCACGACCAGGTGCTCCTCGCAAGATTTCTGACAGAGGAGTGAAAAGAATTATCAGAAGAGTTGTCCAAGAGCCAAGGACCACTTGTGGAGAGCTTCAGAAASACCTGGAATTAGCAGGTACGATTGTTTCAAAGAAAACAATACGTAATGCACTGAACCACCATGGCCTGTATGCACGCTCACCACGCAAGACTCCACTGCTGAAGAAACAGCATGTTGAAGCTCCTTTAAAGTTTACTGCACAACATTTAAACAAGCCTGTGAAATACTGGGAGAATATAGTCTGGTCAGATGAGACCAACATTGAACTGTTTGGATGCCAGAATACACATCATGTTTGGAGGTCAAATGTCACTGCACATCAGCCCAAAAACACCATACCAACAGTGAAGTTTGGAGGTGGGAACATCATGGTGTGGGGCTGTTTTTCAGCATATGGTACTGGCAAACTTCAAATAATTGAAGGAAGGACGAGTGGAAAAATGTCTAGAGACATTCTTGATAAAAATCTGCTTCCATCTACCAGGATGATGAAGATGAAACGTGGCTGGACATTTCAGCAAGACAATGAGCCCAAACACAAAGCCAAGGAAACTCTCAGTTGGTTTCAGAGAAAGAAACTAAAGCTGCTGGAATGGCCCAGCCAATCACCTGACCTGAATCCAACAGAAAATCTATGGAAAGAACTAAAGATCAGAGTTCATAGAAGAGGTCCACGAAACCTTCAAGATTTGAAGACTGTTTGTGGAAGAATGGGCCAAAATCACACCTGAGCAATGCATGCCACTAGTTTCTCCATACAGGAGGCATCGTGAAGCTGTCATTGCCAACAAAGGCTTTTGTACAAAGTATTAGATAAATTTCAGTAAGTGTGTTCAATACTTTTTCCCCGTGCCATTCCACATTATTACAAATAACTTAATTTCTGGACATTTATGGTTTGATTTCTTTGTATGTATGGATCACTTGGGTTGTTACCGACATCTGGTGAAAATCCTCTAGTAATATATTTACTGAGAAAAATGGTGACGTGTTCAATACTTATTTTACCCATTGTATATCGATATGCAGTTATGAAATGTGCATTCAATGTAAATAAAACTCTTGGCTGAATCTGCTAGATTTTAAAGCACTGCTGCATGTGTTCAGCTTGTAAATGAAGTGTAATTAAATGTGTTTTTCAGTGGAGGCCAACAATAATTGGAAGCTTAAATCCCTCAGGCAGTGAGTGTTCCCTATCCTGAAGCAGCTGGTCAAATTCCCATCTTGATCCTACTGGTTCAACTAAAAACATCAAACATCAAAGCAGATAATATCCATATTATACTAATATTACTACTAATAAAATGCAAATACAAGTTTTATTACCATCTCTTTTATATAGTCTGAGGAAATAAAGTTTATATGTTCAGAACCCAGGTTCACTCAGCAGCTTTAGCTCCGTTTCCGAGCAGCCAGACAAACACGTTTCTGGCTGATTGAGTTCAGGGTCACAGCAAGGACAGCGGCGCTGCTGCCTTCTCATAACTGTAACCTGTCAGATCAAATCAATACCATCATCAGTCACAGACACACACACAAGCCATCAGAAGGCCAAACAGGTAGGAAAACAGACAAACAGCCACTGAAACAGACAGACACCAGTCATTCCAGCCTGCCACCCACACTGCCAGGCATTCGGCCAAAACAACAAAAACAAAGAGAAAAAAATTCAGAGACAGTCTTATTTAACTCATATCTCAGCTTCATGAAGGTTGTTAAGTTATATATTTGCGCAGTATTTATAGTTTGTTTGTACCATCTTGGCTTCCAAGCAGTATTTTTCCCTTAGGGTGTTGAAATTACTCACTGTGCCATATTTGCCACTTTTCTCTTTATTTTCTTTGCTAACATTCAAAGCTGCTGATTATTTATTGCAGTACTTTGTGCCAATACTTTTATTCTTTTGCATCCTAAGGACTTAAGAAAACTAATTTTGGCTGACTTATTGACACATAACCAATCCCACCAGTTTGTTTTAGTTCAGGGCTGAGAGACGAACATGACACTGTCGCCTTTAGTCACATATTTCTTTGATCAGGAGGAAAAAACAAAACAAAACAAAACCTCAAGCCTCAATACATTCTTTTTGTAAGAGTCTGCAGCTGGCAGCAACCATTCCACTAAAGGTCACCATGAGTTTGATTGTGTTTTTGTGGTATTTCGGTTTTATATTTCATCTCTCATCCTCAGCCCTTCTTTTGTTTCATGGCTTTGCCCCGAAATGCTAAAGAATAAGGTTTTCAACGCTTTTTGTTGTTGTTTGATTTATTAGCCCACACTCTTTTTGAATGTCAAATAAAATGGCAGCCAGCATGCTCTCCACAGTGGGATGAATTCCCATTAACCACCATTTTTACCTGATAGCTCTTCTGTAGCGGTGGTCCGTGTTCCTGTCAGTGTGTGGTATCGGAGATTATGGCGAGTGTTGTCACTAATCTAATCTGAGCATCTCGACTCGGCACCGGGCTCTGTGGGGAGGACTGCATCGGGGAACAATTACTGGACATTTTGAAATAGTTTCCTAAAACCACCACCATTTGTCACTAATGGCTTTTTTTTTTTGCAAGTTGATGCCACATTTTTTAGATTAAAAAGTGAGCAACAACAGTTTACAGCTTTCTGTTTTGACCAGTGTTAAGGCATCCCCAGATCTTGCGCCCTATTTCTTTCATTGCTGTTTTGCTGTTGATAAGAATCGAAATACGACAATATTTTGTTTTTGTTTATTTAAAAGTTAGCTTTTTGCATTTTCTGTAGAACATACTTTAATTTGTAGTGATGAGGGTGGACGTTCACTTATCATTTCTATCTCTTCCTAAGAAATCTGCTCTCTGAGGGAATGACTAACCTAAGGAAATATTTAGGTTAGTCATGTTGCTGCTATTGAACTCTAAGCCTCACCTCATTTTTTGCACATTATTTTTCCTTTTGGTATTTCCTTCCTTATTAGATTTACATAAAAACAGTTTGGGAATCTTTATGCCCTGATGAGGTTCACATGTAAACTGGTGGTGCAGTTTAATGTCGTAAGGTTTAGGCTGTTTTGTTTACATTTCCAATAAGATACGTGTCATGTTGCTGGACTTTTCTCAGTGTTTTACCTGAACAGCAAGGTTTTTTTTTTACCCAAAACTCTCCAAAGAACTGAATTTAAGAAACTCATGTGCCTGAACAATAGTTGAATCATGCCAAATATTTTTGTTGCTTTTGGTTTGTAATTCGTCTCATCTCTGAAATACAGCTATATGATTGAGGGTTCAGGGATTTTCTTTCATGCCAGTGCACAGATTTGCTTCTTGCATTGAAAATTTAGAGTTAAATAGAAAAGACATGAAATAAAAAAAAATGTACTGAGGAAAATTCTTATGTTTTTAAGATGGATTCCTCTCAAGGGATATCAATATCCTGACAATGTCATGACCGTGGTGTTTTCATTAAAGGCAAGAACTCACTTTAAAATAAACAATTAAAATGAAAGTAAATGTAATAAAAGAAGTCATCAAGCAAAAAATGTATATTTATATTGTAAAACCACTGTAGTTCTGGTGTAATTATAAAGAATTTGCCCTCAACAATGTTATTATTCAGTCAATAAGGACATCCAATTCATTCTGCAGGTGCAGTCAATTTGTAGATTAGTCTTGCTGTCACCATCACTGCTGCTGTGACAGTTTGGCCCATTATCAAGCCTCAGCCAGGCTGCCAATTGGATTTTATTTTTCTCCTCCCTAAAGCTGCCACACTGCTTAAACACAAGTGCATTCTTGTTTTCTTCAATTCAGATTAATCGTGCTGTTGGCTATCTCTGCCTGGCATCCTAGCAAAGCACCTGCCAGGTCCTGAAGCCGTTTATCAGAAAGGTGGAGCTCACAGGAGAGCTTATTTTTAATTTTAAAAAATATATAATTTCTTTGTTTGTTTGTTCTCTTTCCCTTTCTGTAGCTCTACTGGCCAGCTAGTGCAGAACGTGTCCAAGAATGTCTCATGGCTGGGAAGGATCCAGAGGTGATTCAAGGCACACTCAGTGATATAAGCACACAAACATGTAATTACATAAAGACAGAAACATGTAATAGAGAAATGTCTTTATGAAAGCAGTCGAGGAGTATTTTAACCACCAAGTAGTGTTTTGTGTTTTCTGCACAGATTTGAATCAGGTTTGGTCATATCACTATCATGTTTAAAGGAAGATTTTCTAAAATATTCTGCAACAACAACAACAACAAAAAAAGGGCAGAAGAGTTGCGTAACAGATTGTGATCTACCGCGGAACTGAAGTTGAATAAATCTGATTCATTTGGGAACTCTAAACAAAGTCTGATACGGGTAGAAAAATCCTGATTCAGGTTACGGAAGTACAAAACAAAACGAGCAAACATTTAGTATTATATTTAAGTAATAAAATAAGCCTTTGTAAACAGCATGCACTTAAAAACAGTCATTTAAAACATCATTTTTGTTTTCCTGTATCTCCCTGTCTGGCCAGCTGGAGTGTGCCAACTTCCTGCGAGTTCTGCAGCCTTTTAATCAGACTCATCTTTATGTGTGTGGCACTGGGGCCTTCAACCCCCGCTGTGCTTTCATAGCTACCAGCATCTTCCACCAGGTACAACCTCAAGTACTTTCTCTCACCCACACACAGAAAAATTAACACTTGAAAAAGCCAGTTGACTAATTAGAAGTTGATCATCCTGTCAGTAGAAAAGGAATTGCTTTACCTAATAATTGTTTTTCAGGGTCTTATATCAACAGTAAGTTGATGTGATTGATTGGCGCTTACATTTGTTCTGTCTTTTTTTTGGTCATTCTTGTAGTAAATTAATGTTTTCATGAGACAATTTATAATTCTACTGCTGCACTTTGAAATATAACATCCTTAGCTAGATCGCTTACAAGATGCAAGCTCTACAAGTAACACTGAACAGATTAGCGTTTGTAAACAAATACTAATGAATAAAAATTTGGAAGAAAGTTGACTTCAGCTCCAGAGGAGTTTTTCATTAATATGTTGCTGCTTTTACCCCCACTGTCCTGCATGCATGTTTAGGTTCCCAGCCCCTATATGCAAACCGTAGAGCAGCTGAAATTTCAAATGTGGCGTCTACCCCCATGCCCACATACCCACCAGAGTTTACCTTGTATCATCTGTCCATAATAATGTGAAAATTTCCATTTGTCACCAGTTCACTTCACTGTGCGGCTCACCTGACACCTGCTGACACATTTATGTCAAATTGAGTGTAACGGTTTTCACTAAAACAGTCAGAAAGTTTAAACTTTGACCAGATCTAACAATCAAATATTGCTAGGACTTTCATTAGTTCTGCTGTAATGTACAGTGTTGTATAAAGTACCTCAAAGTGATACTTGAGTAAAAGCACAAGTATCTTATCATAAAAATACTTTGGTAAAAGTTAAAGTCTTCTCAAGGAATATTACTTGAGTAGAAGTCTTAATTTTGTACTTAAGTATCAAAAGTAAATTTCTGACACAAAATCTATTGAAGTTTTAAAAGTAAAAGTACTGAGTAAAAGTGAGCAGTTGGATTTTCCAAAACTACATTTATTGGGAGGCGACTTCTCCAAAAAATAGTCTTTCTAACGGCGTGCAGCTGTGATGGGTTGTGTACAAGGTAATATGGTGTCAAAATGGAATATATTTGTACTTCTCATACAACCACAATTAAATTAAATCTATCCAGGAGACAATTTATCAGGATAGTATTTTTTAAATAATAACAACTCAGAATAAAATAGGAGTAACGACTTTCTACTTCTTACCTTTTTAAAAAATTGTAATGAGTAGAAAGTACAGATAATTGTGTAAAAATGTTAAGAGTAAAAGTAAAAAGTAGGCTGAAAAATAATTACTCAAGTAAAGTACAGATAACCAAAATTTCTACTTAAGTACAGTAACAAAGTATTTGTATTTAGCTACTTTACAACTCTGGTGATGTAAATCCTGTGTTTGTACTTTTGAGGTTGCGTGTGTGCTGTGCAGTGTATGCAGGTGTGTACGTGTGTGTGTGTGTGTGTGTGTGTGTGTGTGTGTGTGTGTG